AGGAGTTCTTTACGGATGCAGCGGATCCGGGTGGCCCCCGAAGTAAGGTGTCCAGACGGCCCAAGGCAGAGGAGGTCTTAGCCTCGCCATGACCGAGCGACGTGGGGGACTGGGAGCCCGCCTGGCCCGCCTGCTGGCTGGACTAGGGGCCCGGAGAGAGCGCAGGGGGAAGGAGACCTCAGAGGAGGCCAGACCCCGAGATAGGTGAGGGGAGATGCAGAAAGGCCGGGTGGGGGTGGCCCAGGCCTAGAAGGTGTCTGTCTGTCTGTTTCTATGTGTATTAGAGTGTTATAAGTGCTCAAATCAGTATGCATGGATTCTCAGAGAACAAAAATATACGTGTCTATGTACCACGGTTGTGGATCTGTGATTGTGGAACATCCCTGCTTTCTAGTAAAACCTTAAAACAACTTTGGCAATTTTATGATTTCCTCCCTAGAGACAGTTTAAAGCAAACGTGGCGGTTCCTCCTGATGCTGTGGACTTTGATTTTCACATCACAGGTCAATGTTTTCTGGTCTTTATTTCCTGTGCTCTTGAGTCTTAACAGATTCCGAGTTGCCTTGTACGGCAGCATTGCATTTGTTCTTATCCAGAGGCAGCTCTAGATTAATAGCAATAAACCTTTATTTACCAATTGCTTTCATGCTGTGGCTGGATTGGCTCATGTAATTCTCATGGCAGCCCTATGCGGTATTGCGTGTGATTCAGATCCAGGAATGGGGACTGAGAGAGGTGAAGACACCTGCCTGCAGTCACACAGTCAGAAGTGGTGGAGCTGGGGTACAATCACAAGTGGCCTCGACACCAGAGCTCAAATCTTGGAGCTCTATTGCCTTGGAAACTTGCCAGACTGCAAGCCAAGGGAGCCCCCCCCCCAACTCTAGTGCCACTGGCCTGGTAACCTTGAGCAAGTTGCTTCACCTCTCTGGGCTGGTGTCCTAGTGAGAATGAAAATCCAAGCGGGCGCAGTAGCTCACAGGCCCTCTGTCGGCAGAGTGTGAAGTGTGTTCTCAGGCGCGGTGTGTTTTGGTGTGTCTATGCAGTTACCCAGCAATTTGTTCTGATCTTATCACACAGCTGTCTTCAGCCTGCCCAGGAGGGGTGAGGCGAGGTGGGGGAAGGAGAAAGGAGGAGTTTGTGCGGCTCTCTCACCCTAGAGCGGGGAGGGTCTAGCTGGAAGCTGACTGCCCCGGGGTACCCACACCTTACCAGTGCCCTGCCCACCCGCTCCTGGAAGACACACCCTCTCCCTTTTCCCTGTCTGGCTGAAATCGGCCAGCCCTGTAGGCCTGGGCGGTCTTCCCCCTTACCCCGCTATTGCGGAGGAGGAAGGCTGGGGGTGCAGGTGAGTCAGGAGTGAGGGAGGCAGGGAGGGGCTGTGGGGCTGATCTGGTGACACCAGCCCTGTGTGCACTTGGACTCCGTTCCTGTTGGCTGTGGAAGTGGGATCCCCTCTAATCCCTGCTGATTGCCCAAAGTGGGGGCCGGGACAGAGAGGACAAGGCCCTTCCTGGTCTTGCTCCCTTTAGTGAGGTAATAGCCAGCTGACCTTTGATTGGGACCGTCCTGGTAGCCTAACACCAAAGCTCACTATCTGTGTGACTCCAAGCCAGTCACTTTGGCCCTCAATTTCCTTTTCTGAAAAATGAAGGCACTGATACCCAGTTGCTAGAAATATTGTGAGGCTTAATGGTGACCATGAAGGCGCCAAACTTAGTGCTCAGCTCAGCACTCAGGGTGGCCTGAGCAAATGTGGACATTTGGAGCCACCAACTCACTGTCTTCTCTCTCTGTTCCAGGCCTGATTCCCCTCTGGTCCATCCCCCTCACCTCCTGTCCCCCCACATCCCATCCTTTTTTTTTTTTTTTGTACCATGAAGGCAAAACTTAGTGCTCAGCTCAGCACTCAGGGTGGCCTGAGCAAATGTGGACATTTGGAGCCACCAACTCACTGTCTTCTCTCTCTGTTCCAGGCCTGATTCCCCTCTGGTCCATCCCCCTCACCTCCTGTCTCCCCACATCCCATCCTTTTTTTTTTTTTTTGTTACCAGGGTTGGAACTCAACTCCAGGACCTTGCGCTTGCAAGGCATTGGGTAGAACCAAATCCCTGGCCGTCCTCTTCTTGTTGTTGTTGTTGTTGTTGTTTTTTTCTTGGTACCGGGGATTGAACTCAGGTCCTTGCACTTGCAAGGCAGGCCACCAAACTGCTGAGCTAAATGCCCCGCCCTGTTGTTGTTTTGTTTTGTTTTGTTTTGTTTTGTTTTTTTTTTTGGAGACAGGATTTCGCTATGCAGTTCAGGCTGGCCTTGAACTCACTTTCTAGTCCAGGCTGGCCTGGATCACAACAATCTTCCTGCTTCAGCCTCCTAAGTGCTGGGATTGCCAGATGCGGCACCGTGCCTAGCCTGGTCCCATTTTGAACTCAGCCCATCCCTTTCCTTTTCTCTGCCTCCAGGGGTGGGGCAGCCAGCTAGGGGAGGGAGCAGAAGAGGCAGCTACATAGGCCTTCCCCAAAGGTTTGAGGGGTTCTTGCTGCTGGGCTGTGGGCCCTGAGAAAAGGTTGGGGAAAGGGCTACTGGGCCCAGTCTGGGATGACGGTGTGGGGACAGGAAGAAACTACTCCATTCCCTTCCTGTATGCTTTCTTCCCAGACCCTGGGGTGGCCAGAGCTGCCCCGACCTCGCCCAGGGCCGGGGCAGCACTGGCAGCACCGGCGATGTCAGACTCAAGGTAGGAGAAAACCTGAGATAGAGGGAGTAAGGGGAGCAGAAGCTCAGGGAGGGCGGGGCAGGCTCTGAGAACCCTGACTCACAAGTCAGACAACTGGAGTTCCAGTCCTCCCTCTGCTGCTGATTCACTGTGTGACCCTGGGAAGATCTCTCCCCACGTTTGAACCTTGGCATTCTCATCTGAAAAATGGGCACAATAATGCCTTTCTGAAGGCTGTGGAGAGAGTCCAGCACAGGGCCTGGTGCTCAGGAAACATGCATGTCCTATGCTGGAGTCCTTAGGAGAGGCATATAGGGGAAAGGCCTGCTCCCCAAACCCCCATCCACCATCTTGACCTCTGCCCATCTTTGGCCTCTTTTCCTCACTTCCTGGCAGGGACCCCCAGAAATGATACTGAGCCTGTGACTTGACCTTCTGGCCACAGTTCCCCTTCTGCAGAGGAGGCCTGAGCCATGAATTGACAGTGACGAGTATTCTGTCCTTAGAGGAGCTGAGGACAGCCTTTTCTAGAGGCGGCTGCAGCAGCCATATGGCTCTCTTTGGTCCCAAATATCATGAGTGATGACCAGAGTTTAATTGAATGCTCATTATGTGCGGCACTCTGTGTTGATTATCTCACACGATCTGTACAGCACTCCAGGAAGACAGGTGCTATTATTATCATACCCACTGTACACAAGGTGAAACTGAGATACAGGTGGTATTGCAGCCAGAAAGTAGCAGCAGTGCAATCCAGGCCCAGGTCACCTCTACTCAGGCCCCCACACCAATCATCCTACTCTTTTGTCACTAGAGATATCCAGCCCCTAGGAAATGAAAGACCATGTCTATTTCATAGATGAGTAAATGAAAGCAATTGAGATTGAAGGCCCCTGGGAAGGGATTTTGACCCCACATTTGGCTCCCCTGTTGCCAAGGACACAAGTCTATCTGGGAAGACTGGTAGTTTGAGGGTCAGTGTCCTTATGGATCTGGGATGCTGAGGTCTCTCCCTTCATTCCCATAGCCCAGCTGGAGTTCAGGGAAGAGGGCAGACAGATCAGGTGTCCGCCCTCCCCTGCTTCTCCCATGGCCTCTTTACCTCTGTGCCTGGGGACCTCCTCCCAGGTGTGCTGTGGGAATTTCAGGTTGCCAGGGTACAAAGGAGGTGGCATTAGGCCTTCAGGTAGCCTGCAGCAGGCAGAGGCCATGGGCACTTGAGGCAGGCATGCCCACACAGCACTTGATCCCCAGGGCAGTTGGCGCCAGAGTCAGAGGCCTGCGGATGCCTGGGAAAGCAGCAGTAGGCCTACAAAGAAGATGAGGTCACGGCTCTGGGAAGGCACTGCCAGGCCCTATAGCTTCATCAACTGGGAGGCAGTGGGGTGCCTAAGGATTGGGAGCTCTCTCTGCATTGCAGTGGGACCCTAGTCATGTCACTGCCCTTTTGGGACTCATTTTCCTCTTGTGTGGAATGGGAGGGCGTGCGTTTCAGCTGAAGGACCTTTCCAGGGTCCTGCTCCTTTGTTCAGCTGTGGTGGCCCTGGCAGCGTCTGCCAGTGCAGCTCAGGTGGTTGTCAGAGCACTGCTTAGCTTCCCTTGTGCCAAAGAGGACAGTGAGGGACATCTAGGGACACGTGGAGGACAGAGGGGAGGTGCCCTCACCATGTCTCTGACCCCTCTCACCGTGTTCCCTGCCTCTGGTTTTCCCCAGGTCCAAGCCCAGAGCCATTCAGAATGGGACCTTCGGGTCACAAGCCATGGTGGTTTCTGGTCTCGGAAGCGCCAGCACCCCTCAGGGAGACCAGCTCAGCCCCTGGGGCGCCTGCAGAGGCCAGCTGTGGGCAGTGCCTCTGACTTGGCCAACTATGCCTCCATGGCACCCGAGGACCAGGCCCCGGCCGTGGTCTCAGCAGAAACTGCTGGTGCCCAGCACCCCTTACTCCAAGGCAATTCTCCTGGACATACAGAACAGGGAACCCCAGGCCACACCTGCCAGCAAGCCCCACGAGTAGCCCCAGACCTCACTCTGAGACTGGAGCCGCCCAGCAATCTGGAAAACTCGCCTCTGCCGCCCCACCCAGCATCTTTCACTGAGGTGGAAGGGGCAAAGGGCGAGCGGGACTCCTCAGGGCCTGTCCAGTCAGAGTCAGCCCGGATCCTCCACTCACGACGGCCTGCCGGGAGGACCCGCTACCACATCACTGTCACCCTGCAGGGGTGTGGGCAGACACCCAGGGAGGAGGGTGAGGAACCGGCCCGACCAGCTCCCCACCCCTGCGGCCCTGCGGAATCCAGGGGCTGGCTGGAGCCTCCCCAGGGGCTCCGCCCCATCACGGGGTGCCCGACCAACCTGCTCCAGGAGCCCCAGCTGAGAGCTCCGCCGCTGCCGCTGCCGCATCAGGGGAGCTTGGCCCAGTGGCAGGAGGTCCAGCCCGGCTGGAAGCCTGGGTCCCCACACAGAGGGTGAGTAGAGCTCGGTCTGGTGGCGGGAAGGGAAGCTGGTGTGGCCATCCCCATTTGGGTCTCTCTGCCTTGTCCCTGGGTTTCTCCAACGGCACGCTCATTCATTTGGCACCCGGAGCTGACTCTGCCACCCCTCCCTCCCAGGAGGTACTCTGAGACCCCTGCTGCTCTCTGCCCCTGCCCATCAGAGACGTGGAAATCTTGTCATGGAAAATCATGGGCAGCTTTCTTCTCAGCGACACCCACCGCTCCCTAGTTCTGTTCAGGAGGCCACAGACCCAGCCTGGGAACAGGCACCCAGCCAAGGTGCTGGCTGTCTTGAGGCAAATTGCTTAACTTCTCTGGGCCTTGTGTTGTTGAGTGGATTTGGTAGTCAGGTTACAGGAACATCCTTTGAACTCCAAAGAGCTGGGCTGTCAAAATAGCAGGGATGCTTATTAATTACACCTCAGTGGCAGCAATAATTACCCCACCTGGCTTTGTGCTGGCAGCCAGGAGAATAGGCGCCAAGACTCCGGAGCCTTGGTTTTTATTTGGCTCTCCTGCCTGGTGGGCTCCACTGGGAGAAATGTGGATCCCTCAGCACTCAGGGAGGAGGGCTAAATATGGGAACACTCTAAAGACCACAAGAAGAGGCCTTGGGTCCCAGGCAGGCTCTGGGGAGCTCCTAATAATGACGGTGGTGGCTGACATTTATGGTTTGTTTCCTAAGTATAATTTTATTTAATCCTCACAGCAGTCCCATGGAGTAGGAACTAATCCCACCACCTAATTATAGTAGGAAGCTAAGGTTCAGCAAGGTAAAGTCATTTGCCCAAAGCCAACTGGACAGTGGAGGGAATTAGAACTTATACCTGGGCCTCTGCAACTCTGGTGCTCTGACCATTTTCCCATCCAGCCCCCAAAAGAAGCCTCTTGGGCTCCGTGTGAGAGCAGAGGCTGACTGGTTGCTGTGGAAGCCTGTGCGGTGAATTGGGTGGCACTGTGCCAGCAGAGGCCAGGGTAGGGATGCCCAGGTCTTCTGGGCAGAAGTCAGTGGTCTAATCCCCTGCCAAGGAAGAGGGCCATGTGGGGCCCAGTCAGGCCCAGAGAGCTGTCTAGTGCTCCATCTAGGGGATGGGGAAAGAGTTTCGGGGGGAAGCGGCAGCCTGAGCTGAGCTCCGCCTGGCACTCTCCGGCTGTTTGGGATCCAGGTGGGTAATAATGGATTCCAGTGGGAGGCTAGGACCCCCTTAGAGAGGGAGGAAGGCGATTTCCAGGGCTATCATCTTTCTCTATCCACTTTTTGGAGAAAAGTTCAGCTGGGTGGAACCCAGCTGAGGCTGTAAGGGGGGTAAAAGACAGGTTTGCATCCAAGTATGTGTGTCCACATTCAAGTGTAGGTGCATTTCAAGGGGAGGAGAGTTTGTGGTCGTGAGTTGACTGTGTGTGGACTGGAAATGTGTGCATTGGGGTTTGCCACTGTTTCTGTGTGTTGTGTGTGTGGGTCTGTGACTTGTGATGTGTGCTGTCTCTGAGGGCCTGTGTGTGGATACGTGTGTCTCTGGGTGTGTTTCTCTAAGTAGGTTTCTGTACTATTCTGTGCTGCGTGCGACTGTGTGAGCCAGCATGTGTTTGCCAGCATGTAGGCCTGTGACTGGTTTGGCCCAGTTTGGGGGTGACTCACACGTAAGCAGGGAGATCTAGGACTTGTTGGGTTATGAGAATTTTCCCACAGTCCCCCTGCCCTCTCCCCACCCCACAAACCTCATTTGGAGGCCACAGGTCACCCTGCTAACAAATCTCCTGGTCTGGGCTCTTGGAGAAGAGAGTGCCCTGGAAATAGGCATGTCTGCTTGCCCGGGAGAGGCAGCTGGTTAGTGGGGTGTGTCTCCCAAATAAGGGCAAAGTGGGAGCTAGAGGCAGGCAGATTCCAGCAGAGTTTGAAGAACCTTTTGCAGGCATGACTGTCCAGGGATGGGGCAGGTGAATTGTCAAGCGGTGACCTCCCTGTCCCTAGAAGCCTGTGAAAATCCAGTGACCACATACTTGTGGAATGAGTGGCTGTCAGGGGTGTTGTTCAGGGGTTGGGTTGGGCTGAGAAAGGTATGGAGTTCTGATTGCTGGGAGGTCACGGGAAGTATCTTAAGACAATTACCAATAGTTTCCTTGCAGGTTGCTTTCCTATGAGTCTGTAGGGCCTTTCACATATCTGATTCTTTCCCCCTGGATTCTTAGGATACCACTGTCATGAGAAACCAGGGCCTAGCACATGGCCTGACATGCTTAGCATCAAATGAGAGGCCGATGAACGAGTAAGTGAGTAAATAGATGGCCTAGGACCCCGGCTGTGTGAGTACTGTCAGCATCATTGGGGACAGAGAGTCTTGATGAAGAGCAGGGAGTACAACTCAGAAGTGGAGAGGGGACCCAGTGAGGACAGCGACTGTAGAGGTCCTGGTGAGTGTCGAAGCTGCACATAGGAGGAGTGCAGGCAGGCAGGCAGGCAGGCAGGCAGGCAAGGTGCGCTGAGAAGAAAGGCTGTCCTTGATGAGGACAGGGGCTGGGTGTTGGCTGGGTCCTTTCCTCAGGAAGCCCTGGCCTGAGGAAAGGATTGGGATCACCCAGACCTCCCCCTTCCCTTCCCTAAGACTTCTGGGGTCCACAGGCTCTGTCCCAGAGGCCGTCATATCCCGCAGTGGTCCAGGAGTCAAATCAGGCTTCCCTGGGCCTCAGCCCCTTTCATCTCTCCTCCTCGTAAAACCTGAGTCATTGCTGGGGCCACAGAGCAGGGTCAAAGTTCTGGGTTCCACCAGCTTCTCAGGAGGTACTGGGTGGAGATAGGGGAGGGGAATTGGGGCAGTGGGTCCCTTCCTGACCAGGGTTGGGGCCTCAGAGGCCTGCCTCATGGAGAGGAGGCCTAGACCTGAAGGCAGGCTGGGCCGACAGGAGGGATAAACAGGTCAACCTCTGGGCTCCATGGGGTCTGAGAATAGGATGTCATGGGAGCCTGGGAGTCAGAGAATGGGGACGGATGGCCTCTCCAGGACTGAGATGGCCCCCTTGAAAGTAAACACTCAAACCAGAGCCTCAGTTTACCGGGGGAGTTAGGGGTTTGCTAGGTGGTTGAACACTTAGTGTTGGGGTAAAGTCTTGACTTGCTTCTGTGTGACCCTGGATGATTCTTTAACTAAAAAAGTCTCATGTACAAGATGGGAGCGTTTATTTATAATTTAGTAACAACTTACCCTTATGGAGTTCAGTCTCCTGGAATTATTTTGAGGTTTCAATGTTGGCACAGAAGCCCTCAGCAATAGCCATTGCTACTGCTGCTACTAAGGCCTGGGAAATTCACCAGATCCTGAGAAGAGGAGGATGTCTTTGGCAGGGTTGTAGTAAAGTAGGTTGTAGATTCCCAGAGAGATCAAGAGGAGGTCAGGAAAGAAAGAAGACCTCAAGGAGTGAGGGGAAGATGTGGATTCAGAAGACATGACTTTAAACCCTAGCCTGGAGACTTACTGGCTACATCATTCTGGGCCAGCCGCTCTTCTCCGATCCTCTTTCTTCTTCTGTACCATAGGGAAGTAACAATTTCAGAAGAGAGAAAGGAGGGAAAAGTGCAGTGTAAAGCTCAGAGCGCTGTGTCCTTAGAGAGGCAAACCCCTATGGCACCTGTACCGTAGCAGATTGTGGCACTGAAATTTCTAAAAGTTTGCTGTCACTGCCTTAGGGGCTCCACTGAGACCCACAGATGTACCCAGCGGTGTCCCTTTGCCCTCACCGTTACTGTCACACGCTCTTGCTAGTAATGTGAATGCACACCTGCTTCCATTTGGTCACAAACCTCCGGGATGACAGTGTGACATTTATGAGCCAGCATTTTCGTTTATAAAGCCAAGTTTTCATTCTTTCTCTCTTATTCCTTCCTGCCTGGCAAGATCCTGTGAAGCATATATTCTTAAGACTCTCGTTGTGTGGTTGGGGACCATGTGGCCTGCCAAGGTCATCCAGATGGTGAGCACAGGGTCAGGCGGGTCCACGCTGTGTCTGAGCCCAAAGCCCAGTTTTCCTGAACTCTTTTAGGAAACCTGGCAGGAATGGGTGAGAACAATGCTTGTTCAGTTTCTGCCTTTCTAGTTTTCTGGTTTTTGGCCCCTGGAGGTCCAGACCCAGGGCTTCTTAGGTAGAGGCCCAGGCTAGGCCATCCATGGACCAGCAGGCCAGATTCATCTTCCTTTCTGCTTGCTCCCTTCTGCCTCCTTCCAGGCTCAGACCTCAGCCTGTGAAAGACCTCGACAGAGGGAATCACTTGAAAGTGGGGAGATGAGTAAGGAGTGAATCCCATTAGAACTGGGAATATCACGCCCACGCTGCAGACAAGGGAGCAGAGACACAAAGGTCAAGCACATGCCCGAGGGCACCCAGCATGAGTGTGGCAGGGGAAGTTATTCTGTACTTCAGGGACCCTCACCACTCTCTGACGCTCATCTCTTTTCTTCCTGGCCTTGTCTGCAGGGATCTGGACTACAGTGTGAAGAGAACACCTCTGGACAGGTTTCCGGGGCCCAACATGGAGGAGGCTGGGCCCCCGCCCCGGGCTGAGGCCCGAGTGGTAAGTGCCACCCTGATGTGGCGACATCGGCCTCCGGCCCAGGAAGAAATTAGACATCGTTTTCACAAGGTGTCCCTGGTGTCAGGGGCCCGGGAGGAGATGTTTGGGTACAGCCACCTTCAAGAGGAAGTCAATGGCTTTGCTACTCGGGAAGAAGAGACCGTGAATCACCAGGGCCTTTGGGATGAGGCTGGCTCTACAAAATTCCAGAGCCACGGACCCATCTTTTCCAAGAAGTATATCCCACCCCCGAAGGAGAAAAGGCCAGTGAGGAGGCTGAAGGAGGCTGCAGACCAGACTGACAGCATCCCCCAGGCTCCCAGGACTGAGCCACCAGGCATGGGAACCACGGCCAGGACTGAGTTGCTGGTGCCCCTGCCTGGGCCCCGGGAGCCAAGCCCCCACCCAGGCCTGAGTCACTCCAGTGGGAGCTCTTGGAACCGTGAGGAGTGTCGAGTGACACGTACTGTGCGGACCACCACAGTAGTAGGGGGCCACGTGGACCGCCGGGTGAGCAGCTCGGTGACCACAGGGCCCACGCTGTTGGGTGAGACCTTGCCAAGGGGCCGCCATGTGGCCCGCACGGTCCGGACGGTGGTGGTGAACCCCCGGGCTGAGGGCTCACCCAGCCACAGCAAGGCCCGGGAGCTGCTGAGTAGCCTGGTGCCTGCTGAGCACAGCTCCCTGGCCAGTCACCTCCCCAGGCCCATGAATGTGCCAAGGAGCCAGGGCCTGGGTGGCACAGGGGGCACAGTACCTGGGGAACTGCCTGAGACCGGGACAGCCCACCTAAAGGTCCCTACCAGCAGCTCGGTGAGTCCTCACCTACCCCAGAACCGAGACAGCCCTGCAGCCTGCCCAGACCAAGACCAAGGCAGGGCCCTGGAGCCCAGAAGGATGCAGGGAGCCTCCAGCCCTACTCCACTGCCTCCCCAGACTTCTCAGAGCCAAGCACCAGTGCCCTCCCCTCCCAGACTCCAGACCCATCCCCCCTCCCCAGGCTTGGCCTCTCAGCCCAGGGCCCGGCCCAGTCTCCATGGCCTGCCCTCTGTACAAAAGGAAGGGCTTGTGGATCCCCTTGCTGCACCCATCCCACCTGTGGAGAGGAGCGAGGCTGTTCCTATGCCTGGACAACCTGTTGTTCCATCTTCTATTAGGAAGAAGACTGTCCCCAGCCCAGGAGGTCTTTCTGCTGTCTCCTCCCCAAGGAATAAATTTGTTCAGGACTCTGAGAATGTGCCTGCCTCCTCCCTTACTCAGAAAGAGGCAGTTCAAGGCCCTGGTGCTCCCGATGCCTCATCCCCTAAGCCAGCCAAGGTTGCCCAGAGCCCAGAAAGAGGCCCTAGCACCCAAAAGCAGGTTGTCTGGAATGCTGAAAGCAGCCCTGCCCCCTCCCTTACCAAGGAAGAGACTTTTCAAGGCCCACATGCTCCTGTTCCCCAACTCCCCAAAGAGAATGAGGCCATCCCAGGTGCCAAAGGGAGCCCTGTCTCATCCCCTCAAAAAGATGACATCCACAGCTCCGCTGTTAGTCCTGCCCCAACCCCCTCAGTGGACATGGTGTCCCCTGGTGTAGGAGACACCCCTGTTGCAGTGCCAGAGGAGGCAGAGGCCAGCCTGGAGTCCCAGCTTGCCCCTGACTCTGCTGAGGACAAGTCACTTCCAGGGTCATCGAGTGAGGAGGATGAGTTGGTCCTGGATGCTGATCTGGAGATTTTCCTGGATACGTTACGGAGCATGGAGCCCCCTGAGATCCTCCGCACTCACCGGCTGCCCCGAGCCCCACGCTCCTCCTACTTGGCCGTGTACGCCACACTGCCTGCCATCGAGGAGGACCAACCTGGTCCATGGGTGCTGGGACCCAGCCCCCAGGAGGTGCCTGCCCTGGAGGAAGAGGAGGAGGAGGAAGAGGAGGAGGAAGAAGAGGAAGAACCAGAGAACCCCTACCTGAGCGATGATGAGAAGCTCCAGCTTAGGCTGGAGAAAACAGGTCCCAGCCTCTCATGGGGCTCCCGTTCTGCCAGGCCTACCCAGGACTCTTCTTCACCCCTGGAGATGATGAAGAAACACGTGGCGGATGCCAGAAGCCATCACCCAGAACTTGGGCTGGAACTGCAGACTGGAAACCGGCCCACTTCCCGACTCGGTGGCAGCCTTCTCTTTAGCAGTCTCATGTCTGCCACCAAGGAGGCACCCACCCCAGAACCACTAGGTGCAAAACTATCTGCTCTGCCACCCCATGGGGCACCAGGGCTGAGGAAGGTGCCTGGACAGTTGCCCCTGCTCTGCAGTGGAAGGCCACCACCAGAGAAGCTGACACGTGCCCAGCCCCTGGAGGGGTGGGTGAGTGAGGCCTTGGGTGGGCAGGGGAGGTGCCTGGCCAGGTTTGGGTGCTGTGAGGAGAATGGTACTGGTAGTCAGAGTCCTTGGAGGCGGGGAGGAGCTTGGGTCTGAGGGCTAGTTCAGTTAAACCATGCAAGCCACACTTCTCTGGGCCTCAGTCTCCCCGTTTGTATAACAGGAAGTCTGTACTGTGGATTTTGAAGGGCTTGGTGGCTCCCATATCCTGGAAGCTGGGAAAGGGGAGTGAAAGCCCTCTGTGGGGTAGAAACAAGTGTGGTGTCTTCTGGATCAACTTCTTGGAGGTGGAGGCCAATAGGGAAGACAAGGCATCCGTAGACTGTCTGGTTGTGGGAGAGCAGTACGTAGGTGACCCCATAAGACTTCTTGTCACTCCTGTTCCAGAGCCCATCCTTGAAGACACAGGGCAAGCTGAACACCAGGCCTGGGAAGGTAGGCGTGTGGGGCAAGTGGGCAGGGGTGGCAGGAAATGGGATCCGGGGACAGAACCTGAGGATGTGTGCTGTGCCTTCTCAGGTGATCTTCTTCTCACAGCCCGGCTGCCAGGGTAGCAGCAGGGAGATCTGGGAAGACATTGCTGATGCCTCGGGCTGGGCCCTTGTCACCTCTGTAAGGGTGGTTCGAGGATGGTGAGTGGGCATGGCAGTAACCCTAGGGTTGTAAAGGACTCCCAACCTTGTGGAAACTTCATCAGCTACTCAGAGACCGTGGGTACACCCTCCTTCCCAGCTGTGACCCTGAGGTCTCTGCCCACAGCTGGGTGCTGTATGAACAGCCCAAGTTCCAGGGCCGGAAGCTGGTCCTGCCTGAAGGAGACATGGACCTGAGAGCCCTGCAGCCAGCGTGGAACACGCGAGGCATTGGCTCCCTGAGGCTGGCTGTCTGGGTGAGCGGGCTGGGTAGGGGGGCAGCCTGGAGTACCTAGAGTGGCAAGTCTGGATGAGATTATATGGGGCAGAAGGGGCTTTATTGTGAGCTAGCTGTAAGTTCCTGATCTTCCAGGCATGGTGGAAGAGAGACCCTGGGTGTGTACAGTCTGCGGGGAGGCAGGGCCTGGCACAACCTTGGGAGGAATACAGCTTTGGGAGGTCTGAGTGGCCGGAATGGGCCAGGTTTGCCCAGCACTGGTGCAAGGTGCCGTGGGTATTTGTTCATTCACTTGTTGGTAGCCCACTGATTATTGAGTGCCAGCCCCTGGGCCAGGTGAGAGGGAGGCACTCTTTGCCCTGCGCAGTCAGACAAACTGTGAGGGCTTGTTCAAAGGAGGAAAACTGTGTTACAGGACTGAGGATTTATGAACACCCTTTTGGATGTCAGAAAAATAGGAGAGCAGTCAGCAGGGAATCCTAGGAGGTCCCAGAGATTTGGGAGGGAAGGAGCAAGGGCTTGAAAAAAATCAACATTGTTTAAAAAAAGGAAGAAAAGTCGACATTGTAATTTCGTATTTGTAAAGCCCAAAACAACCCTGTTTTCAGAGCATGAATTAACAAACCATAAAAACAACCATGACCCCTAGAGAGACCCAGAAGAAAGACCAATGAGTCTAAACAGGGTCTAGCGTGGGTGTTTGTTTTTGTTTTTAATGAAAGGGCTAAGTAGCTAAGCCCAGAGTTGTTGCAATCTTGGTACAGCTATTGCAGTGTCCCAGGAGCGGGGTATAACAGTTTTCTGAGTCAGTCCAGTTGTGGACAGTTCATTGTGAGCAACTCAATAAATTCACCTTCACTTGGGAGGTAATGAGGTACAAGAGTAAAGCAAGGCCCCCAAGGGTCCCTAGGGTTGTTGGATTCATTCTGCACTGAGTGGGCACCTACTGTGGGCCAGGTATGTGGGTGGTGACAGGTTGCAACACTGAATTAAAAAAGTGCTGCTCTGTTCTTGGCTGTGCTGCTTACAAGCTCCATGACCTTGAGCCTCACTTTACTCAACTCTGAATGGACTAATAATGTTAACCAGTTGGGGGACTGACTGGGACAGGCAGACATGACCTTAGCATAGCACCCACTCAGTAGATGTTTCATAGTCATTTGAAGAATGAGTGAATGAATGAATGCATTAAAATGGCCCTAGTGATAAACATGCAGAAGCAGGGTGTAGTGGGGTACACTTACAATCCCAGCACTTGAGAGGCTGAGACAGGAGGTTCTCCATGAGCTTGAGGCCAGCTGGAGTTACATAGTGAGTTCAAGGCCAGCCTGAACTACTCAGCAAGACCCCCTCCCCCGCAAAATACTCATAAATCAGAGAAGATCTGCTGTCGGGGATGTGATTTAGACACCAGTCAAAGCCAGTCTGGAGGGCTGGCTGGTTTGGTGGTACAGTACGTACTCAGCATGCCTGAGGCCCTGTCCATCACTAGTGCCCCCACCAAAGAAAGAAGAGAGAGGGAGGGAGGGTGGGAGGAGAGAGAGAGAAAGAAAAGAAAAACCAGTCTGGGTGGAGACTGGAATTGTACCTAAAGCTGGACCTCAGGAAGTGGCTAACCAGCTTGCCTATCCAAACCCGGCCGGAAGTCAGAGACAAGGGAAGGGTGTTATGCTTTGCAGCTTCTCCTGGGATCTTTGGTTTCAGGTCCCGAAGGTGGAAGAAGAACTTTAGTCTCAGGTTTAGCTAGCTGATCTTGCAAGAATGGCCCAGTTGCATCCCTGGAGCTCTGGCTATACAGACTTCAGGAGCAGGAGGGGGCACCGTAGCCTCCAAAGAGCGTTCCTTTACACCTCATTGTCCCCCCTTCTCCCTCAGGACTACTGCACCCCGGAGATCAGTCTGTTCTCTGAGGAGGGCCTCAAGGGTGAGCAGGTGAAGCTAACTGAAGCCTTGAAGGAAGCTGGGGGCCTGGAGAGGCACCTGCAGGTGGCATCTGCCACCGTCTCTGCAGGACTGTGAGTCTGGGCTGTTCTGGAATCCAACATTCACTCCTGTTCTGGGTTCTGGGGACACAGGTGACAGGACATTCCCTCCCTTCAAAAGTGCTCAGTCTCCTGGTGGGAACAGGCAAGTAGACAGTGGCAGTCCAGAGGTGTGGGATGTGGGAGTACTGAGTTTTGGGAACACAGAAAAGCAGCAGAGCAGCTGACAGTGGGGTGCGGGGATCATCAAAGAAGCCTTCCTGAAGGAGGAGACATCTCAGCTGGGATGAGTGGTCTCAGAATCCAATCTCCAGGAGGACAGGAATTTGTATGTTTGGTCAGTATGGTGTTGATGATGCTGGATGCCCCTGAGCATCCATTATTGAATGAATGAGGAAAACACTGCAGGGGAACAGCGCATATAAAGGCCAAGTGGTAAGAAATCTAAGCTTCCAAAGTTCAGCCTGGGGACTGGGGATGTCTCTTGGGATCTGGGGTGCAAAAGCCCTTCTCCCTTCCTCAGGTGGCTGCTATACCCCAAACCGTTCTTTGAAGACACCCCTTATATCCTGGAGCCTGGGGAGTATCCTACCTTGGAGGATTTGGGTACATCAGACCCCACTGTGGGCTCCCTGAAGCCCATGAGATTGGTAAGGAGCAGGGTACACCCACAAGCCCTCTGTCCCTTGTCCCAAGGAGTGTGGTCTCACATCTGTGGGCAGGAGGAGGGAACTAAACAGTGCTCCTGGCAGACAACACTTGGGAGCTCCTCTTGGGGATTAGTGGAGAGTGAGGATTCACCCAAGGGGTGGGGGAGAGGAGGGACTTGTCATTTTTAGCGGGTCTCGGGATCAAGAATATCCTAGGTCCCTGGTCCCATCTGTCCTCCTCCACCTCTGGGCTGGCCTCTCAGCAGTGTCTCCTCTGCAGGGCTGTCCAAGTGTGGAGAAGCCAGGGGAGCCCAAGGTAAGGAGCTGGGCTTCAGGGTCAAAGAGGGCCATTGATGTGGTGGTGGAGGTAGCATGGCTGAGATTGGAAGACAGGAGAGAAGGACCGGGACCAGAAGCTGGGTCTGGGAGGATAGAACCGACCCGCTCACTGGAAACTGGCTTTTGATGTGTGAGCACAGTGCAGAGGGCAGAGTGGAGACCGGATGGAGCTCAGTGAGGCTGGTACTGGGCAGTGCCATTCTTGGGCTGGCTGGGTTGTCTGAGTCCAGCAGCCCCAACAACTTGACACCCATTCCCCCCAGGCTATAGTGTATGAGGCCGCAGGCTTTCAGGGCCAGAGCTGGGAAGTGAGCAGAGACATCTACAACATTCAGCAGCCAGAGGACAGCCAGAGCCCCAACCTCGCCTCTGTGGGGTCCTTGAGGGTTCTTGGGGGCTGGTGAGGACTTAGGGTGATTCCTTCCACCTTATCTCCCCTATTGACCTTTGCCTTGGGGGTGGGATGCAGCCTGTGTGGTCCTGGGTGGGGTAGCTGGCTATCCAGGGACTTCTGTAACTGGGTCTGTCCATCCTCCCCTGCCTCCAGTTGGGTGGGCTACGAGAAAGTGGGCTTCCGAGGCCACCAGTATCTGCTGGAGGAGGGCGAGTACGCTGACTGGTCGCACTGGGGAGGCTATGACGAGCTGCTGACCTCCCTGAGGATCATCCGGACGGTAAACAAGGGCAATTGGTCTCTGCCTCTGTCCCTGGTCACAGCCAACTTTCCCATACAATCTCAGGGAAGAATTTGAACCTCTCTCCCTGATCTCCAACTGAGGGCCAGTCTCTCTCCTCCTGCGGCTCCTCCTGGGCCACTCTGAGTGCCTCACCCCTAATTCCTCGAGTGGGCTGTGTCCCTGGGGTCTGGGCGCTCCCAGATGTTTCCAGTCTTGGGCTGGATAGACCTGTCTATCCCCGGGGGCCAGGACTTCGGGGACCCGGCTGTGGTGCTGTTTGAGGACATGGACTTCCAAGGGCACGGCGTGGAGGTGAGCACGGCACTGCCGGATGTGGAGCTAGTGCAACACGGGCCCCGCACTCAGGCCATCCACGTGCTCAGCGGCGTGTAAGTGATCCCTCCCCGGAGCGGGAGCTGGGCGGTTCCGGGAGAGGTGCCGGTTCCTCCCTGCTGATCCGAGCGCTGCCCTTCCTGCAGGTGGGTGGCCTATGGGCAGGTGGGCTTCTCCGGCGAACAGTACGTGTTGGAGAAGGGCGTGTACCGTAACTGCGATGACTGGGGCGCG